GTGGTTGTTTGCCTGCTTGGTCGGTGTGGTCGGTTGGGTTGGCAAAGTGTGCGCGTGGGATGTGTGTCGCCAACAACCGCAACAACGAATGTGTGATGAATCATCGATGACTCATCATGTAGACTGAATTCAGTTCTTACGCATGTTGTTAGACGTGCATCGAATTCATGCGTGGCAGTTATTCAGTTATTCTGCACGCGCGCACACACACGCAAACTTCGAGGTTGGTTGCAGTGGAACTTGGGTAAGTGGCAGTGGTGTGGGTGCGTGGATGAAGGCTGTTGGTGGATTGGAACAGCAGGAAGACACAAAGACTACACACAAAGACATGCACACAAAGACATCCACACAAAGACATACACAAACACATCCACTCCACGCTTTCCTTCCACATACATACACACACGCACCTCCAGGAACTCAAAACGCTTTCCACCCTCAAACACACACACACACACACACACACACACACACACACACACACACACACACACACACACACAGAGCAGAACCACCACCCACCCATGAGCTGGTATGGTGCGGCAAACTATGTGTGCAAATTGGGTGTGCACACTGTTGTGCAGCCCGTGCTGTGGATGACCCAACAACAGCAACAGCAACAACAACAACAGCAGCAACAGCAGAGCGGTGTGGTTTCTTCCTGGCTCGCCTCCTCTGCATCAGCAAGCAGTCTCGTCACCTCCAACCCCAGCAAAACCAGCAACAGCGCCAGTCACGACGGCAGCAACAGCGTTGGGTCTGTGCGACCGTTACACACCGTCTTGAAACAAGAGCGACAAGCTCTCAGCACCACACCGCATGGGCACCCAATCTCACAGGATGCCCTTGCAGTGCCACCCACGCCCACATCCACGAGCTCAGCGACGCGTGTTGCCAGTGCTTCCGGTACCGCCGACGGACAAAATCGTCGTCCTGCTTCTCGCGTGCATGCCATAAACACACCACACACCCAGCAGACGCACGGCTCGCCGAGGCCTCAGCGTACACACGGCGTCACTGCACACCATGCGGTGCCCCGATCACTCACCCGTCTTGTGCTGGACCCGAAGGGCAAACGACACACAACCTCTGATAGCCAACACACCAACCAAGAACAACGGCAGTCACAATTGCAAACAGATTCACGCAAACAGCAGCCTCAAACACCAAGCCCAGTGAAAGAAAAGGCGAGCTTCAATGCAAGTTTACACGCGTGCGCATCTGGGCTGCACCTCTCGCTGTCCCTCCTGAGCTGTGCCAGCTTGCCACACCTGGGCAGCTCGCTGGTCTCGCGCGCGTACCCGAGCATCGCCAACATGATGGACCTTGACGCCGACAGCGACGGCACTGGCGATGACGTTGGTGGTGATGATATGGATGATGGAGGAGACGGCATCAGCGATGTGGAAGACATTGATGGTGATGATGATGATGATGATGATGATGATGTTGATGGTGATGATGATGATGATGATGATGATGATGATGATGATGATGATGATGATGATGATGATGGTGATCATGATGACGTGGTCCACGTATCGCTTGAGCCCAGTGGTTCCGTTCCACACCACAAGCCGCCAACTTCTCCCACTTGCACGACCACGGTTCCCTCCTCCGCCACGTCAACACCTTACACCCCTCCATCCACGTGCGAAGCGAGCGAGGTGCTGCTGCCAACGCCAGCGCTGGCCGATGCGTTTGCAGACGCGCTGTTGCAGTGCTGCACCGAAGGAAAGGTGTCTGTCGTGCAGCGCACACTCGAGGTAACTCCGGCACTGGTGACACACGTGCGGGCAAGCGACGGCGCCCAGCCCATCCACGCAGCAGCAGCAGCAGGGCAGGTGGACGTGCTCCTGTGCCTCATTGCGCTTGGTGCAGACATCACAGCAACGACGACACACACACGGGAGACGGCGCTTCATCTAGCCGCGCGCGGGGATCATGCCCTCGCTGCCACCGCCATCCTGGACCAGACGGCCGGCGCTCTTCTCGTCAACTGCACCGATGCACGAGGTGCGGTTTCGTGTGCTGTGTGTGTGTGTGTGGTGTGCTATGTGTGTAGTGTGTGGTGTGTGTATGTTTGCGTGTAGTGTGTGTGTATGCGTGTGTGTTGTGTGATATGTGTGTAGTGTGTATGTGTGTGTATGTGCGTGTGTGTGGTGTGTGTGTAGTGTGCTGTGTGTGTGCTGTGTGTGTGTGTGTGTGTGTGTGTGTGTGGTGTGTGGTGTGTGCGTGTTTGCCTGCAATGCGTACTGCTTCAACGAGCTACCTCCACCCCCTCACCCTTACCGCCCCCCCCCCTTCAGGTGCAACACCGGTCTTCGTTGCGAGCGAGAACGGGTGCGCCGCTGTGCTGGATGTGCTCCTCGCCCGCCGACCAGATATCGACGCGCCACGCAATGACGGTCCGTTGGCCAGTGTGTGTGTGTGTGATGCAGAGACTGCCCTCCTTCTCCCAGCATCTCTCCCAACATCTGTCCCTGCCTCTCTCCCTGCCTCTCTCCTAACCGCTCTCATTTCCCCGTCTTCTCCATCTCTCCCGCCCCCCCTCCCATCTCGACTGCAGGCGCCACACCGCTGTACATGGCCTGCTACAACGGGCACACGCGCGTGGCAAAGACGCTCGCCCTCGCCGGCGCCAACCACTCGGCCACGCACGCGTCTGGAGCAACGGCGCTGCACATTGGCGCGTGGAAGGGCCACGCGGCCGTGGTCCGGTTGCTTGCATGCACGGCACCCGCGCTCATCAACGCGCAGACGTGTGCGGGCGCAACGCCGCTGCTTGCTGCCTGCACAAACGGGCACGCGGATGTTGTTGAGTTTCTGCTCTGCCACGGCGCCAACCCGCTGGTGCGCATGTACGACGGAACCACGTGCCTGCAGGCATCGCGGCGCGGCGGCTACGTGGAGATTGAGGCCATGCTGCTGTACGCCATTGCCCACATCCGCGCGCACACGTGGGACTTTGTCTTTGACTGCGACGTGCCGGTCGAAGAGGGGGAGGTGGATGTGACAGATGACGTCGATCTGACGGAGGAGGTGGGTGTGGTGGAAGAGATGGATGTGACAGAAGACGTTGGGGCGACAGTGGAGGTGGTTCAAGCTGAGCAGAAAAGAGCGATGATGCAAGAAGGAGATGAACACGCGACAGATGCGACCACGGCTGCAGGGAGGCGGGATAAGCGCCACGGCATCAACAATGGCGTGCAGTGGCTTGAAAAGGAAGGGAACAAGTCACTTGGTAACAATGATGACGGTAATGGTGGTGATGACACCGTGTGCGGCGTTGGGCGTTCGTCTGTTGTGTCGTGGACACTTGGCTGTGATGACAGTGACGACGCGAGTGACAGCGACAACTTTATCAATGACGATGGCGACGGCGCCAATGAGTATGACAACGAGTATGATGATGATCGCGAGTACGACGCTGATGATTATGATGATGGCCACTGTGCTGCAGCTCGGCGGGTGTGGCGGGCGCAGGTGTGGCGGGAGCTGCTGGTGCTCAGTGGCAGCGACGACGACGACGACGACGACGACGACGATCATGGTGGGTGCGATGGGTGTGGTGAGGTGATGGTCGACTGGGACTGCAACATCCTTGCTGACAGTGAGCAACGACGAGAAGATGGCTGTGCAGAGGTGCTCCAGCATAAGCTGAACCTGCAACAACAACAACACCACCTCCGTGACCACCACCGCCGCCGCCACAGCAGCAGCAGCAGCAGCAGCAGCAGCAGCAGCAGCAGCAGCAGCTTCACCACAGCGACACCAACAACAACATCAACAACAACATCAACAACAACAGCAACATCAGCAACAGCATCAACAACAGCAACGTCCGACACGGCAAGAACGGCGACGTGGGTGGTGACGGCTGACGGGCACCCCGTGCTGGCATCAAAAGTGGAGGAGATCAGACAACAGCTGCTGCTGCACGACATTCAAGCCGATATCAGCACCAGCACTCTGCCATCCACAGCACTGCTCGCTGACAGTTGTACTGTAAGTAGTGGTGATGGCGGTGCGCAGTGCGACCGGCGGCGCCGGTCGATGCAGCGCGCAGCAGTGAAGAGAAGTCGCAGGTGTGCACGCACCTCCGCCATGAACGATAACGACAACGACAACGACAACGACAATGATGGTGGTGAGGGACCGGTTGTGCGGCAGCGTTCACGGTTTCGCCTCAACAGCGATGATGACTTTGACCTCGTTGGTGCAGTGTTGCCGCGGCAGCCGGCGCTGCTTGCACACGCACACGTGCACTGGTGCTCTTCCAGCGACGGCCGCATAGTGGAGGTTGGCGATGGTGATGACGACAACAGCAGTGAGAAAGACAGGCGCGTGCGCGTTGAGCGTGGCAGCGTGGCAGCACGATCCGGGCTGAACAAGCGGGGGCGCAGACGACGCGCACCGCCACCGTCTGTCATGTTTCCCGAGTCCCTCAGTCCTTTTGCGTTTGCACTCGCCATGCCATCAAGTTAAACGCCATTTGTGGTGTGTGTTCGTGTGTGTGTGTGTGCTCGTGTGTGTGTGTGTGTGTGTGTACGTGCATGTGCTTGTGTGTGACGTCACATCATGTATCACTGGTTCGCGCGTCGTCCAGGGCGTTGAGCGCCTTGCGATATGACGTGATGTGATGATTGGTTAGGTAGGGATGCAAGTCAATCAAGGTGTCACACCCTTCTTGACAACAGCTCGCATCAACACATTTGACGCTAGATGACACAATGGAGACTTTTGGAATTGTTCGTGATGATGTGATTTCTTACTTGCTTGCTGGCACAAGTGCACTCACATCACGGTGCCAATGTAAACAAACGACAACATCAGGCACGCGAAGAAACAAAGGAAGAAAGATGCACGCAACAAACACATAAACGAACACAAACACATAAACGAACACAAACACAAACACACACACACAAACACAGCCAGACGTCATCCATTATCATTCGTTGCTGCTTTGTTTGTTTACATTGACGAAAATTATATAAAATTCCACATGTTTTTCTGCGCAATCATGATGATGACAAATCGTTGCTTCTGCCAGAGTGATGTGTTGCATGCCTCAAGGCAGTGGTGCACCACTCATCTGTCGTGCACATCTAGACATGTGCAGCAGCAAGTCCCCAAGCAGACGCAATGGCGCACCGGTGTTGGTGCTGTGCTGTGGATGGGTGAAGCAGCTGGGTGAAGCAGTTTGCGGTTCCCAGGCATTGGCATTTATTTCTCGTTCATCAAGCAAGACAACCAAGCACAACCCAAGAACAGAGAGCCGCCAAGCACACCCGTCACAAGCAAAGCGACCAAAGACACCGCCAAGCACACAGCCAAGCGCAAGGAACAGCAAGGATGCCGTCCAACATTGTGGTTCTCGGGTCCACCGGGTTTGTGGGCACCTCCACCATCAAGACACTGGCAAGCCGCTATTCTGCACAGACGCAAGTGCGAGCTGCAACACGCGACCCTTCCTCGGACAAGGCAAAGGCCCTCGCCGCCGACAACGTGATGGTTGTGAAGGGCGACATGAGCGACCCAGCCTCCCTGGACAACATCATCCAGAAGGACGACGCCGTGTTTGGTGTGTTTTCTCTGTGTGTGTGTTTGTGCAGTGTGTGTGTGTGTGTGTGTGTGTGTCTGCAGTGTGTTTGTGCCGTCTGTGTGTGTGTGTGTGTGTGTGTGTCTGCAGTGTGTTTGTGCCGTCTGTCTGTGTGTGTGTGTGTGTGTGTGTGTGTGTGTGTGTGTGTCTGCAGTGTGTTTGTGCCGTCTGTCTGTGTGTGTGTGTGTGTTTGTGTTTGTGCTGTCTGTCTGCAGTGTGTTTGTGCATGCGTGTGTGTGCTTCTCATTTTGCCCCCATCTCCTATCCCCCCCCCCTTCATCAACCTGTGTCTCACACGCCAAACCTCCCCCCCCCCCGATGCCCTTGTCACCTTGTAGTCGTCACCCCGGGCCACATTGAACGCACGAAGCTGGCCATCGCCGGCGTGGATGCCGCCAAGCGCAACGGTGCCAAGTTTGTGCTCGTCGTCTCCGTGCTCACCACGGGCACAGACAGCATCTTTGGGCGCCAGTTTGCGCCACTGGAGAAGCATGTTCAGGAGTGCGGCATTCCATACTCGCTCGTGCGCCTGCCATTCTTCATCGACAACGCGTTTGGCAACCAGGAGGCCATCAAGGGCGGCAAGTACTATGCGCCCGCTAAGCCAGATGTTGTCTTCACGCCCGTTGCCGTCGCCGACGTCGGTGAGGCCTGCGCCGCCATCCTGGCCGACCCCTCCAAGCACGCCAACACCATCTACTCGGTATGTTTTATGTGTGAATGTGCGTTGTGTGTTTGTGTAAATGTGCGTTGTGTGTTTGTGTGTGTGTGTGTGTGTGTGTGTGTGTGCGTGTGCGCGAGTGTTTGACTGTGCTTGCTCTGCGTGCGCCTGCCTGCAACGTGTACCTCGTGTGCCCTCCCAACCACCTCTCACGCAGCCGTTGTTTCTTGCAACGCACTGGTGCAGCTGACGAGCAAGCCCATGACGCACAAGGACATTGTTGCTGGGTTCTCCAAGGCGCTCGGCAAGCCCGTCGAGTACGTGCAGGTCCCATATGACGCCGCCAAGAAGTCGTTCATGGACCTCGGAATGCCCGAGTGGCAGGTCGACGGCGTGCTGGTACGTTGTGTGTGTATGTGTGTGTGTGTGTGTGTGTGTGTGTGTGTGTGTGTGCGTGTGTGTGTGCGTGTGTGTAGTGATTGTGAAATTGCGTGGCGGTTCCTTGGTTGCTCCGCGTTTCTCTCGCTCAGCGTCTCTTTGTGCCTTGCTCACCTTCCTCCTTTCCTCCGCTCACCTCATTCCCCATATCTGCTTATCCCCCCATCCCCTTTGTGTGTACAGGAACTGTTCCGCTACTTTGACGCGTCTGCGAAGGTGACGAACAACCCGACGGACGACATCAAGAAGATCACCGGCCACGACCCACTGGATGCAGAGGCCTGGATGAAGTCTGTCAAGGGCGCCTTTGCTTAAACCCTGCACCCTCCATGCATGCATGCATTCATCGTGCACTCACGCGCGGTCCATCTCACTCCATCGAGTGTACTGTTTTGTTGTGTGTAGCCTTTGTTGTTTCTCTGTTGCTGTTGCCTGTGCCCATAACCTCTCCCTCGGTTCACTTTCATATCAATGTCGCCCTTAAGAATAAACGCTCTTTCTTCTCGCCTTCTCGCTGCACATGCAGAGATGCGTGAGAACACCTGTTTATTGTTGACGGCGTGGTAGGCGCAAGGACACTGAACCCAAGATAAGGGAGTGATGAGAACCAGAGCAGGTGCTGGCGTGGGTTTGTTGTAAGATTGGGCAAATACACAACTTGCTCTGGAGCGAAGCATCTGAGAATGGAAGGTTAGTGAGGGCACTATGAATAAGAGAAGAGAACAGTGTCCGGTCCCTCCTGCCACTGGATCCTGGATCCTTACTTGCGTGATGATGTTTGGTTCTCTTAGCACCCTCGAAGTTTCAGCACGGTGTGAATCGTTGGTGGATCACTGTCGTCGTTAGCGCGAGGCATGTACAGGCAGTTCTCTATATTGGCAAGAAATACATTGGAAATTTCTCCACATTGGCAACAAATCTCCGCGCCACACTCTCGCTCAAAACTGTCGCGCCAAAAACCACAACCATTGACACGCACACACACACACGCACACACACACACACACGCACACACACGCACACACGCACACACACACACACGCACGCACACGAACGAACGACATCAGCAGCTTGAAGGCGTCGCTTAAGGCCGCAGCAACGGGCGTGACAGCACACACGATTATGACTAA